CTTTTGGGTTTAGTTCTTTCTTTACGTTTCTTTCATACTATTTTTTCTCACACCTTTCGTTGGCGTTCTTGAATATCCTTTCCTTTTCTTTCTTATGTTTCATTCTTAGTATGCTTTGAATAGTGACCTTTGTAATAATTATAATTTTAGAAAAGAAAATAAAAGTTTAAAGTAATTTCTTAATTATATTTGTTTAAATATACAAAAAAGAATGAAATGATAAATTGTAAGAATTAAGATATTCTGTACAAGAGGTTGAATAAGTTTAAAACAAAAAAAATCTAATATAAAATTCAAAATTAATTTTGGCAGTGTATTTTGCAGAACAAGTTATAAAAAAATAATGATAATTCAACATATTATATTTAGTGCTTGCAGTACACCATGTAGATAGTTCTGAAAAGACGTTTCGATTGAGTTGCCTCAGTTGCCTTCACCAATTATATACTCATGATTAATACTGTAGCTTTTTCTTTATTCTTATTTCTTAAAAACTGCATATTAATATGTAAATATTTAAGCTACGGTGGCCTTTGTATTTCATTGTAATCATGATATTAATTATTTATCGCCTTCGACTACAGTATATAGTGGACAATATCTTAAAGATTTCATTATTATAATAGATACTGGACAGTGTTTATAATGACTACTAAATGCGTACTCTCAAAATCCTGTATATCTGCTGCACGTATCTTCACACATGCATGTACCAAATAAGTACATAGGCAGCGGTAAAATATTGATTTGGTAACAGTAGCGTGAAATGACAAAATAACAAAAACGATTTATATAATACAGTTTCAATCTGCGAGTTGAATCCATTGAAACTCACTATGATTACAAACTGTAAAACCAATTTCCCCGGTGGTTCATAATACCCACAATGCTCGTTAATCTGAAAATAGGAAAAAAGGACACATACTCATAAAATGTCAAAATAATTACAGTGTGCATCTCAGATGGATTAGAGGTTTCAAACAAAAATTATAATTTTTGAATCCAAAAGTCCATAAAAAGAATTTTCAAAATGTTTTACAAGATGTGTCCTTTGCCTAATCCGATATTTTCCTTAGGAAATTAACTGATCAGATTGCTAAAAATTTTTGTCAAACTTCATAAAAATTGTAAATTGAAGCACAGTACGATATTCTTGATCGGAACATCCTATCGTTTACATTGATCTCAGAGTGTGTAGCAATAAAACTGATTTGCACAAACTCTTGCATATTTTGACCTGAAAATGAAAAAAATCTATCATATAATTATATCCCACAAGTTTACTGTTTATCATTAAGTTTCTTATTGTAACATTCATTGTGTCTTAGATTATTCTAAAACCTAGATTTCTTTGATTTCTTTAGTATATTTAATATTAGGAATGGTGTCTTGCCTTGCTTGATGGGTGAGTACATTCCCAAATACATGCGAAAAAAGTGATTTTAGTGGGAATTGAACCTATCACCTCCAGCTATCCTGGTGTTTTAACCACTAGACCACCGGGCTTAGTAGCTAGTGATGAATCTTATCCCAAAGTAGCAGTGGGTACTGCAATGCTATTCCGATGGTGTTTACGTCATGGCGATTAGCAATGATGTTTTTCCCTTTTATTTTAAAATAATTTAATATTAGATATGTTTTTTTCTTCTTTCATTTTCTCCTTTTAGTAAGTTACAAAAAGAACTATCTGTGTTGAATGTCAAAAATGATAAAAATCAAATAAACGATTTGCAGCGAGAGCTTGATTTAGTGCGTAAAGGGCTAAGCAATGATGCTCGACCAACTAAAGGTGATGGACATAACTTGGGTAAGTGACAAGTTGTGCGCTCAAGCATGACCAGTGAAATGTTGTGCGATCAAGCATGACATGCGATGCTAAGACTACGATTGCAGAATGTGTGAGAATTGCCCAGGAACGTAATTCTCGCCTCTCAGTAAGAACTCTGCATTGCTATACTTTCTGATCTGTTAAACATAATTTGGCTCTCTTCACTCCTCTGTCCCATCAAAAATGTGATTTCCCACACATGTGTTAGATAATTTAAAAAAATAAACCCTCCTCTTACCCATTACTCATTGGGAAAATTTTAAAAAGAAAGCTAAGAAACAGCTTAGAAACTTTAAAATTTCTCGATTTTCACCAAATTACTATGATACACAGTCAGATTCTTTCAAATTGATCAGAAATGTGTATTTAATGTCTTTTTAGTCATCTATCTGTGTGAATTAATACATGGTTTTATTTTTTGCATGGTTTGCTAATACTTTCATTTTGCTGGAATGAAAAATATGTTCCTTGACATTCTACATTCTTTAATTCGTATTTATTTATACACTTTATCACTTTTCTTTTATTAATGTTTATGTTGGGCAGTGAAAAAAATTGACAGACACAATGCACAAATTTGACCAAGTAAAAAATAAATTAGTTTTCTTTTGCCTTCTGCTTCCTTTTTTTTTCATGCCATCTTGTTTTGTTTTTACTGCCATGGATTTACGCATAATGGCATGATCTGAAAAGCTGATAACTTCTTGATGAGAAACTAATAATTTTTTAATTAGGCCATAATGGTAAAATTTTGATTTTTAACTGTTACTATGTTATGTGTTACTATAGGTTGGTTTTAGATGGGTTTGTAAAGTATTAATCATCAGTGGTATATCTAGGGGTTCACATGTGGAATTGCTGTGGTGGGATGTGATAGTGAGAGGGTGTTAGGCATTAGAAAGCTGAGGAAGTGAGGTAATATTTCAGTGTGGGGCTTAGTTTCACACTGAATGATACAAACTTTAAGGAGAGCTTATGTACAGTATTCCTTCCCTCTCTCCCGCCCCCTCCATTAGATATGCTGCTGATAGTATAGTTTTAATCATCAAGGGATTTGTATGTATGTTGTTGGTTTTGTTCATAGCAATAAATTTAGTTTTTTTTTTGTATCCTAATATAACATAAATTTTGGTGGTACTTCCCCGTGTTCTTTATTATAGATAATGTGGTATGTTGATGAAATAACATTTTTCTAAACAATGTGGTGTTTTTTACTATTCTTGTTTGTCTTAATGTGTTGTATTTGCTCTTTCTTTTATAGAATCCTTTACGGTATTTCTCTATGGTTCACCTCTGTCGTAGCTATTACCTCTCTCTATCCTTGCTAAAAATGTATTGTAAATGTCACTTCACTATTCGTCTAATGGGGGAAATAGTGATATCAATGTCATTTATTGAGTTTCCTTAAAAATTTTCTTCTCAAAACTGCTGTAAAAACTAAACCCTACCTAATGTCAGATTTCAGCTATTGTCGTCGTGTTTCTATAGCAACTTGGTTTCATATTAATTATTAATTGCGTTGTTGACTGTGTACATTAATATTTGATGTCGTTTTGTACGTGTAATAATTTGTTAAGCAACAGATGTTCAACTTGATTTTGCAGCACTGCAAGAGGGAACGAGTGAGAAATGCGGTACAGGTCCGTCTATTCAACATGAGAAATTGCGTAGAAAAATTGAAAATGGCGTGACCGAGTTCTGGTTTTATGTCCAGTCGGAATTGAAGAAGATTCAGGAAAGAAGTACTGATCAGTCGTTGAAAGATAAAATAGATATTGTATTACAAGATGCGGGTCATCAACAGAGGTAAGAATCATCATCTGGCTACTTAGAAGTTGTGAGGTGGGGGAGGGTGCCACAATCCCACAAAAAATGTTTGAAGCAAAAGAATTATGCTCAAGTAGCCTAAAATCTCCTTATTTGCACCCTAGTGCTTCCTCGTGTCAATTTAGTGCTTCCCCCACTCATTTCAACGTTGCTCACCCTATCAACCCCCACCCCCTTCTCCTTCCCATTTCAAGGTTTCTAGATCTGCCATTGTCAGTAGCAATGTTATACTTGCACAAATTCTCACTTATAAAACATTTGTTAGTATCAAGAAATTATAGTAGAGCAAAGAAATTTACCAACTTCTGCCGGAATCACATTACAACCTTCAAAGTACCGTTTTGACACCGAATCACTCTAACTGACAGTGGTTATTTGCAGTGCAGAAATTTTCATCTCAAGGGGTCTCCATAAAACCTCATCATATCTGCTACAAAATATCGGATTTCAATATTTCTCAACTTCAGAAAAAAAGCAGTAGCGGAGATATTTAAAGAAGATTATACTGTTTTTTGAATTGAAAGCAGAATTTTATTACCCAGTTTATTAAAATTTTTTTTTACAGATTTCTTCAATTTTTAGCATTAATGATTTCTCTCAGTGTAGGTTGGAAAAACAACTTGAAACATCCTTAATTTGTTTTCATTTCTATGGAGTCTCATCTTCAAGATTATAATAATGGTTCGAAAGAGAGAAAATATATTAGCCTAAAAGAATGACGAAGTAGCATCTAAACTCATAGTAGATGGATTCTATTCATTCTGATGTTATGCTTGTTGAAATATTTTTGCTGCTTTTGAAGTTTTAAAACATTTATTTGATTAAGTGAAGTGAGAATAATCATTAACATTTTTAATTATCTTATTTCCAGAACATTAATATTGCAATAAAACTATTCATCGTGATTTTATTATGATAACCAGATGAAATCCTTTGGTTAAAGAAATTACTGTTTTCTTCAAGGATTTTTCGTCCAGAGTGAAACATTGCAGCGTTTTTTTACGTTTCTCTTTCATCTCCACTTCTTTATTCAATTCATGCTCTATGTATAGTTTCGCACCTTTGATAATTTATTTTGAAATTGGCGCAAAACAAATGTTTGTTTTTTTTTTATTATTATTTTTATCAATATAATTTATATAAATCATAAATTATTACAAAAATTATATCAACACATTGATATTTTTATAACCAATCAATAAGTTATTTCAACAAGAAAAATAATAATTTTACAAGAACATGAAATATGGCTGGTTGTATTATTGCTTTGTTCCTATTCTGATGGAATTAGTTTAGCTACAGCAATAGAAATAGCTCTATTGTATTCCAAATTGTTTCATTGATTTTTTCTTAGAAAACCCAATTTGGTTTTGCTGTCTGGTATCAGAACTCTTCATCTTTTGTAGTGCCATCTTTAATTTGGAAGTCGGCTGTCTTGTGTCGCCATTGCTTATTATTCTCATACAAAGCGTGTTTATTCAATTTTAATTTTAAATTTTTCCTTTAATTTATAAAGGTGAAAACAATTAATACACTACAAGATGTAGAGGTTGATGATGGGTAGCAAGGATTGTGGGTAGTTGGGTAGTACTGTAGTGGATTATGGGTAGAAAGTCAGTAGTTGTAAGAAACAAAAAATTGTGTATATTTGTATTTCTAAATTTGAATAACTTATGATCTTGTTTAAAAATTAAACTTAAAAGTGATGAATAGTATGAACTGTACCGAAGGCATAATATTTGCTGTTAATGCATTGCTCTATGTTTTGAGACTAATTGTAAACAAAGTATTCGTAATTGAATAATTTATACTTAACGATTTTATTTACTCAGGTCAATACTTACAGATTTATATAACATCAGCAATGTGGATGATACTGGTAAATGGAAACTAGCAGCGGCGAAGGCTCTTTCAGATAAAGTACAACGACGATTCTACTATCTACAGGTATGTTTAGAGACCCCTCAGAATGGAAATCCACTTCTGGGGATTTAGATGGTAATCCTTATAAATCCTCTTGTAGCGATTTATAGGATAATCCCTTATACAGTACCATGTTATCTACTTTTATGTAAAAGTTTTACCATATAGTAAGAGGAAGAATGTGTTATTGTAGCTGTATTTTCATGGTTAAGATGCTCACCTTCAGTTCTTGGAGTCAATGGTTCGAATCCTGCCACCTTATTTTTATTTATAGTAATAATGAAATAATAATTGCAACATAATAAATTTAGTAATAACAAGGTAGTTGACAATAATTACAACAATAACAACAACAACAAAATATATATAATATAATAAAAGAAATATATTATAATAATATAATGGGATTATTTTTTTCTTTACTGTAATATTAATTTTGGTTAATTTTGTTCTTGTAATACAGTATAACCAAAATAATAATTATGATACAATAATTGCAGCAACTCTTGATCTCTTTTTCGGCCTTAGAATCCTGTTGACTGCGACAGTGCTAAAAAGTTGGTTTGCAACCTGAACAAAGGATGCGGGTATGGTTGTCAAGTACATCACGTTGCGTACTGCCTCATCCTGGCATATGGCACACAGCGCACTCTCGTCCTCGAGTCACGTGGATGGCGGTATTCTAGCGAAGGCTGGGAGCGTTGGTTCATGCCACTTAGTAATACGTGTCATGATCGTAAAGGCGGCACAACAGGCAGATGGGGTCGTAAGTATTTTATTGAATTTTTAAATCTTTTTATTATATGCTGATATTTGCAGGTTCTGTCTCATTGCTATCTGGCATATTTCCACCTGCAAACTATCGAATAATTCAAGTTTAAGTTCAATTTATTGACATATTCAAAGTAAATTAAATTTGTTTTCCAAGGTTCACAATTAAAAAAAATGCCATACTAAAATACAATACAAAGATACGATATAAGATAAGTTAACCTATGCGTAAAATGATATAAAACATTATAAATATAAAGAGCCGATAAACATTGCAAACAACTGCACTGTAGTCGAGTAAAAATAATGATAATAATAATAATGATTTATCAGGTTAATTTAAAATTATATATAGAACATAGACCATCACAGAATATCAAGATTATTGAAGAAGGGGGAGATGAAATTTTCTGTGGGGCACAGTTGAGAGGTCAACTCTTCTCTCCCTCTCTCAGAGTACTTTATAAATAATAATTTAATGTTGAGTTATTGGTAGCAATCAACTGATATCAAATTTGCCTCCGCATCAGAATCTTGTCCTAAATTCTACAAAATTTATTCATATTATGAAATTTATTTTGCTGTTAGTATGTGATGAAATACCACTAATAATTATTCTTGAAGAAACCAATTAATTAATCATGAGTATTTAATGAATAATTCACTCTTTTCGTATTGAATTATTCATTATTTTCATGTTTGTAATTTTTCAAGATTTCGATTGTGTGTCTTATTAAATATAATCTTTTAAGTAATTCATTGGCATGTCATATTCTTAGAGAAACCATTTCATAAATCCATGGCTATTTAATTTTAAAATTATTTTGATGATTTTGTTTCTTATCAAATGTAATTTAGACTAACCTTTTATTAATTCAGTTTTCAGATTGTGCTAATTATAAATGATAATGAAATGCTAATGATCAAGTGAACTGGTTAATGGCTTGAGTCCAGTTTACTATTATTTGTTGTTTTAGTTACATAATAATAGAACATACATTATTCGTGAGGCGTTATTCAGCAAATGATGCGAAGCAGATCGAGTATAAATGCTTCATATAACACCCTATAAACATAACCCAAAGTGCTAATATTAGGTTAATAAGAAAAACCATACAACACAGCCCAATTTCTAATGAATCTAGTCTAAAATCTCAGAAACCAACTAGAGCAGAAAAATGCATCATCGCACTTTTTACAAATTATAATATTTTTACCATATTTATTTTTTTAATGAAATTTAGAAATCAATTTGAATTAATCTGATTATATATTTTGTATGTTTGCAGTGAATAGCAAATATCATTGCCTTTTCCATATGTTCTCTCTGTTGTTGTTTCCTTCTTCAACAACTATTCAGTCTTCCTCTATTTATATTTTAATAATAATAATAATAATAATAATAATAATAATAATAATGACATTTATAAAGTCACACCAGCCAGCCAACCCCAGAGCACAAGCAATAAATCATATTTAAACAATGCAATATAGTTAACACATCATGATAATAATAAAAATAATGATTGAAAAAATTCATCGATTTTCATTAGGTATTTTAATTTAGGTTTTATTTTAAAGGAATTTAAAATCTAATAATAATGATAATGATAATGTATTTTATTTACATTGCGCCTCTTCAAATAAAAAATTTTTCAAAGGCGCATCACAAAGAAGTAATTAAAAACACCTTTTACACTTAAAATACAGTAGTTAAAATATATAGAAAAAGCACATTTACAATTTTGCAATAAAATACATCATTAAAAAATGCACATACACAAGCAAACAAACATTTCACAAGCATTTTATCACTATACTGAAAGTTAAAAAAAAAAACAATACAATATTCCGTATACCTGCAAACCATGTAATTCTCAACAGATAACAGAAATTCATCCTAAAATATACAATACCAAGTCTAAAAAACATATTTACACCAAACATTCACATTCACCAAACAAATAAGTCTAGTTACAATTAATTACATTTGGTTACAATTAATTAATTAATTAATTTAGTCTATTTACATTAATAAATTATTACAAAAATATATTATTACAAAAATGTAGTATATGGGAGAGGCTTTTAATGACACAATATAAAAAAGCCAAGTATTAACAATATTTAATAAATAATTACAATATAGAGAACATTTTTACAAACAAATAAATGATTGAGTACAAAAATATATCTGATAATCTATAAAATTCCTCTGAGTATGTCCTATTTTCTTCCCCCTTTCTCTACATCTCACTATCTGTAAATTTTGGTTTTGCCATTTGAGATGTTATGAGGGCAAGTTAGTGTGAGTTTGGAGTTTTTCTTTCAATACAGTAACATCCAGTTTTGTGTCACTCTTTTAAAATGACTGATATTTGGCCTAAAATGACTGATTTAAGCCTAAAAATTAAGCAGTTTTGCAACATTGTCACTATAGTCCTTAGAATTTCTTGGCTGCACATATGCAATTCTCTGTCAATTTACTTATTATGGGATTCTCAACATTCATTTTAGGGATCAATCATAATTAACATGTTGCTTCCGGATGTTGTATTGTCACCATCGACTGGTGATGGTATATAAATGTTCTAATAAGATCATTTGCGTTTCTGGACTTGCGTCGGTGTGTGGAATTCTCATTATTCGGCCTTGACTAGCTGCAGATTTAATGAGGATTTGGCTTTTACCAACTTCAGATAGAAAAAATAACAGTGTGAAGATAGCTCTTGATTGCATAGATTTATCAACTCAGATTGTTAAACAATTATTTACTTTGTTTTTCACTTATTAATAGATACATGTTGGCAGCTGGTTTAGTGTATTGTCCTCGTTCATATTAGCACCACTACAGATACTAATGTTGATACTCTATTGATTTTCCAAGCTTTGATGCTGGCCTATAATTACAGAAAATCTATATGCCTTATGGAAGTTTCAACCATTAATGCTACACAAGCTGTGGATTATGTGTGCAATTTACACATTTAGATGTGCCATTAAAACACATGACTGTGAAAATCTATATTTGATTATAATAATAAATCCAGGATGCTATATCATAAATATTCCATGTTGGCTCTTACAAAAAATATATAGTATATTTATATACATATATACACATATAAATGTGTACAACTGGATGTGATAATAATCATTATATTAAAATTTATAAAACACTGCAGTAACAACAAATTACGTTTTCTCTAAGGACTTACTTCTATAAATTCTTGACTAATATGCTTCTTTATTAACAAATTAATTTTTGATGTTTTTTTTTTTTAAATGTGTCTAATAAATCAGCATTTTTGATCAGTTATATAGCACTCACGAAATATGAAAATGGTTCTGATATAATATGAAACCTCATAATTTTATAGATTTTCAAGAAGGCTATAATAATAATGGTCATATTTTTTTTCTAAGTGTTGTTAATTGTATAAATGGACATACTTCTTAATCATCTCTTTTCCATTCTTGGTATTTTTTAAATCAAAAAGAGTTGAGTAGCTGTATTAATCAGTAGATAGATTTTAAATTAAATAAAAAGGTTTTATCAACTGATTTTTATTTAATTATGATGATAATTATTATAATAATAATATATGAAATAATCCATCGCACAATGCAATAGCCTTATCTCAGGTATGCTATTAATCTGCCAGTTTGAAGTGCTGTGTATTTTTTGTACAACAGAAACATGCAGGGTGTCTGTGTAGGTGTGGGTCTGGGGGGATTATCTCTGTACTTATGTGTGGGTGTGTACCTTTCATCAAATATCTTCTGTTTTTAAATGTTGGTCATTTGTCTTTGACCTTCTCGTCAAATGTTTTTTTAAATTTTTTTTTTAGTGATTGACATTTGCTGTGTTGATTTGGATTTAATGCGATTTTGTTTAACAGACATTTCACGCCTTGTAAGCTGTTACACGTCCTGCGTGCATCTTTAATTTAAATTTTTGATGTAGATATATAATTTATGTAGAATGAATGCATATTTGTTCTTTATTTAGACAGGCTCCTGTAACTTATTAGTTTGTTGAAATATTTATGTCTATGCTTGTAATGTAATCTTTGTACTGCAAAGAGCAAGCCATTTGAAGTGCTTTTTATAGATGTTGGGATAATTTACCATGATAGTTTTTGCAAGAAATTTATGGTTTGGCCTAGATTTTTTTTAGTTTGTGAATTGGTCTGGTTTTGGCAATACACACAATTTTTGGTCGTATCATAATTATTATCTTCATCATCATTATCATTATTGTCATCATCATCTTATTGTTATCGTCACCATCATTATCATCATTATTATCATTATTATCATCATCATTAATATCAGTATCATCATTATCAATATCATCATTAATATCATCAATATCATCATCAATATCAGTATCATCAATATCAATATCATCATCATCAGTAACATTAATATCATCATCATTATCAACATCATCTTCATCCTGATCATCATTATCATCATCAGTATCATCTTCCTCCTCATCATCGTTATTGTCATTATCAATATCAATATCATCATCATTATCATTATCATCATCATCATAAATCAAAACAAACAATTTGAAGTTGTAAGCCCTTTTAATTTGTAATCTGCTTACGTTAAGAACAACAACAAAAGAAAATGGGGACTGGATATTTTATGAAACATAAATCCAGTCTGCAAGCATCTATCACGTTTACGTTTATCTCGTGAAAATTAACAAACGTCTGATTATTAATTAGAGCTTCTCTCATGTGTACAGCGCAACAGGATGTATAAATATATTACTTGAAGACCTGCTCGCTACGACTGTGAATTTTAAATTTGAGTAATAAAACCGTGTGTCATTGTAACATGATATATAGTTAGTGTTCAAATTAGGTTTGATACAAGCTGTAAAGTATCTTATATTGTCTGTTTGTATTCCATAATTTCCAGTGGGTGCTGATGTACTCATTATAAATTACAGTATACTATTAAATACTATTAACCAGGTTCCCCATTACATTACTATTGTAGTATTACATTAGAATTAAAGTCCCACCACCCTTTACACATTAAATCGATGATATAGGAAGCACAAGATTGTGTAAATAGAAAATACATTAAAATATATTAATAATAATTTCAATAACATTATTAATAATAATGTTATTGAAATTAATGTTAACATATTAATATCAATATTATTAATAAATATTTTTTTAAATTCTACTATTATTTTAATCAATAATATTGTTTTATTTTATTATTAATCTGGTTATGATCATCTTTATAATACCTATTTTTAAATTCTATTTTCTTGTCCATTTTACATTTTTTAATTTTTTGTCCTGATAATAAGAATGTTATCTAGAAATTTCAATTATCTCAAGGCCAGTGTTCTGAATTAACATTTTCTTTTCTACTTAGCTTTAAGATGAACAAATTGCTCTTACTACTTGCTTCAAAGTGGATAAATTCTTTGAGATGACAATTTAAGGCAGGTTGGCTGGTTCAGTTAAGCTTGCGATATAACAAGCGACACAAATAAAAAAAAACTGAGTACTCTCAAGCTGACATGTATCTAAGAGTATTAACATGGGGTCTGGTGGAGGAATGGGGCATAGTGGAAAAGTCAGTGATATTAGCTGTAGAAATTATCTGAAATGAAGTGGTGTTTATTGCTTCTACAATGCTATTTTCTGTTTTAATTTTCCATAGAAGATAGGAGTCTTTTTTGGGGATTCGGTCAAAGCACCTTACAACAAAAAAAAACTATGCAGATTATATTGAAGCACCTCAAATTTAATCATTTTGATGTAGAATCTATTTTAGCATTTGCTGTGTTTTTTTACCACTTTTGGTTTTTAACTTTGTTGACAAATGTGACATTAGACTTAAAGTATTCCTTGGATTACACTTAAACCAAGGTTAATGACTTCATTTTGATGGCACTTGGTTCTTTCATCCTGAATATTTCATTGTATTTTATTATTAGATTAGACAATAGACTACAGCTTATTATTATACACATTAGACTCACTGTGACCTTTAGATTGTCTAAATGATGTGTAGCTATAAAAGAAATGGAGAAATGAAATTGAATTGAATTTAGTGTTTCAGTGTTTGTATATGAATGCTATGGTGAGAAACAGCAAGGCTCCATTTCTGGGAGATCTGGTTTAAATGAGCTTTTCTTTACACATTTAATTTTATTTTGTGGTGCATTTTGATACACACTGCCAGCTGACCTCAGAAGGACAATTGATAATACAATAGTAAAACACATGCACACTTCATAAATTTACTGGAGTTGGGTAGATTACAAGAGGTTTTTGCTTGCGTTGGGAGGCTGTCCCAATTTCCAGACTTCTAATAATAACAATAGGTTGATATATACTGTAAGGCACATATATTTCTCTCTAAGCATTGCATTATAACCTACCAGGTATGCATGTGTTATATTCCTGAATAAATTTAAAAAAAAGGGGATAAAGTATCTTAATTGCTTGAAGACACAAATAATAACTTTTAGGCTCGAACCCATGATCTCATAATTTCAGATCTAAAACCTTACCACTGCCACTGGGCCATAATCCAGGTATACAAGAATGACGAGTGAAATAATGATAATACAAAAACGATATTGATAATGTTAAATTAATAAATTTTTTTTATTTATTTATTTATTTTTTTGGTTAGGCGCAGAATCAATGGAAAGTATCCAAGTAGTAGACTTGCCAATAGTCGATGGTCTGCATCCAAAGCCGGATTTTCTACCGCTAGCAGTGCCAGCGGACTTAGCAAAGGACCTGGTCCATCTACATGGACATCCCATAGTATGGTGGATTGGACAGGTTTTGAAGTATATCTTAAGACCTAGTAAGTTACTTCAGCAGCATATTGAAGAAATGGAAGGAAAGCATAACTTTGAACATCCAATAGTAGGGTAAGATTTTAACATTCTTGTTCATTGATTGATTAATCGATTTAAAGTATATGTTGTCTTGTCAAGTTAAAATAAATTTATGATTTCATCAGCGTTTGGTTCTGTTACTTTTCGTTCAAGTTTAATTTAATATATTCATATATAATGCATCATATTATGATCAGAAATTACAAAAGAAACCAAATAAGTATCTAAAAAAATCTCTAAAAAAAAATCAGTTTTAGCTGAATTGAACGATTTCCTTTAGGAATTACTGAATAATAATAATAATAATAATAACAATAATGATAAATAATAACTTTTATAGCACATTTCCAATTAAAACTGTTCAATGTGCTTTACAGAACTTAAAATGGACAAATCGAGTCAAAATACAGTACATTAGAAATAATTATACAAATGCTTAAGCTTCAAAACTAGCAAATTTGAATTCAAAAAATCAAAAACTAAAATTAAGAAACAGGATTTAAAAGGAAGCAAACTGAGCCACCAACAATCATGTATTAAAAACAAAGCACATTAAGAATTTGAATAATTAAAACATATAAGAATATTAAAAGAAAAACAGTCAGAAAATTGTCCAGCAATATAGTAAAATGGTGAGGGTGGTGCACTTTCAAAAGTATTAAGCAAAGCAAAGAGATTTACTTTTAAACTTTTAAAGCACGTCTTTGTTTTCTTGCTTTCTAAACATTTGGGAAAAGTAGTTCCGGCGTAACTGACTGCACTTTGATATTTCACAGAGTTCATGTGAGGAGGACTGACAAGGTTGGTACTGAGGCTGCTTTCCACGATATTTCAGAGTATATGAAACATGTTGAAGAGTATTATGAATTAATTAAAAGAAGACAGACAGTAAAGAAAAAAAGAGTTTACCTAGCAACTGATGATCCTGGGTTACTAGAGGAAACAAGGAAAAGGTAAACATTTTCAAATTGCAAATGATTTTGTTATTAAGACTTAAATTCATCTGAAACTGTTTAAAGCGCTATAATATAATTCATTGATTTAATAATATTTGCTATATATTTAATAATTATTTATTTATTTAAGTAATTAATTAATAATTAATAATAATAATTACCTTATAAATAATGCTTGAAATTAATAATTACTAATATTATTATTATTATTATTGTTATTATTATTATTACTATTATTATTATTATTATTATTGTTATTATTCAGGCAAAAGACACAATATACAAAATATAATACAAATCAATAAATCAAACAAATATAACATGAACAAATATATTAGAAGTACCATAGTCATTAGCTGCCAGCAAAGCAGAAAGCAGCCTAAACCATTGTCACCAAAATAGGTGTGTACCTCCAACTAATGACTTCTAAGATGATACAAATAATATAAATGACATAGATAAACATAAATGATTAAAGCATTACATTATTATATTAAGCTTATAATTTATACATGTTGAGGCTAATAGTAAATTAAATATTAAATATTAAATTAATTATACTTAATTATAGTAGAAATAAATATATATATACAATAGAACAAATGATATATTTATGAAGGTAAATTAATTATTGAATTTTACATTTTTATAATTTATACATAGATATGCTAATAACTTAAATATTGAATTAGATATACACAATTAAATTAGAAATAATTATTTATAGTTTATACATTAATAATTATAATTCTTTATTTGTTTATATGAATAATTAATTTATAATAAAAAATTAACTATATAATTAATGATGTTTTTTTTTTCTATATTTTCAGATATCCTGAATATCATTTTATAAGTGATAATGATATTTCAAAGTCAGCGAGTATCAACCAACGATATTCGGACAACTCTTTACGAGGAGTTATATTAGACATACATTTCTTAGCAAATTCTGATTTTTTAGTTTGTACCTTTTCGTCGCAGGTCAGTTGGGTTTATTGTCAATCACATTTTTAATTTGATAGTGTACAAATAAAGAATGTTTATGAGTGCAACAGGAAGAATATTTTTATGTGTTGTAATTTGGACTGTTCCATTCAACAAAGCAAGAGCCTCATTCAATTGAACATTCCATCTTTCAGCAAACAACTATATTCTTTTCATTGCATAAATAGATATTCATTATTTGTTTTATAATACATATAAATAGATTCTTGTCATTTTATATTTATTTCAATTGATCATTCCATCTTTCAGCAAACAACAATATTCTTTTCATTGCATAAATAGATATTCTTTATTTGTTTTATAATATATATAAATAGATTCTTGTCATTTTATATTTATTTCAATTGAACATTCCATCTTCCAGCAAATAACAATATTCTTTTCATTGCATAAATAGATATTCATTATTTGTTTTATAATATATAAATAGATTCTTATCATTTTATATTTATTTCAATTGAACATTCCATCTTTCAGCGAACAACAATATTCTTTTCATTGCATAAATAGATATTCTTTATTTGTTTTATAATATATATAAATAGATTCTTGTCATTTTATATTTATTTCAATTGAACATTCCATCTTCCAGCAAATAACAATATTCTTTTCATTGCATAAATAGATATTCATTATTTGTTTTATAATGTATAAATAGATTCTTATCATTTTATATTTATTTCAATTGAACATTCCATCTTTCAGCAAACAACTATATTCTTTTCATTGCATAAATAGATATTCATTATTTGTTTTATAATGTATATAAATAGATTCTTGTCATTTTATATTTATTTCAATTGATCATTTCATCTTTCAGCAAATAACAATATTCTTTTCATTGCATAAATTGATATTCATTATTTTATAATATATATATAAATAGATTCTTATCATTTTATATTTATTTCAATTGAACATTCCATCTTTCAGCAAACAACAATATTCTTTTCATTGCATAAATAGATATTCTTTATTTGTTTTATAATATATATATATATATAAATAGATTCTTGTCATTTTATATTTATTTCAATTGAACATTCCATCTTCCAGCAAATAACAATATTCTTTTCATTGCATAAATAGATATTCATTATTTGTTTTATAATATATAAATAGATTCTTATCATTTTATATTTATTTCAATTGAACATTCCATCTTCCAGCAAATAACAATATTCTTTTCATTGCATAAATAGATATTCATTATTTGTTTTATAATATATAAATAGATTCTTGTCATTTTATATTTATTTCAATTGAACATTCCATCTTTCAGCAAATAACAATATTCTTTTCATTGCATAAATAGATATTCATTATTTGTTTTATAATATATATAAATAGATTCTTGTCATTTTATATTTATTTCAATTGAACATTTTATCTTTCAGCAAATAACAATATTCTTTTCATTGCATAAATAGATATTCTTTATTTGTTTTATAATATACATAAATAGATTCTTGTCATTTTATATTTTATGAAAATTAAAGTTAGGCCTTCCTTTCTGGTGGATGGAACATTTCATCTTTTTTCAATGAATGAACATATTTTATTTACTTGGAGTCATCATTCACTGGAATAAAATTAATTGAAATTATTACATGAAGAAAGGTAGAAATAAAAAAAAAATGATTAGTTTGCCACTAATTATATTTTTTAATCAATGGGATTTAATAAGAAATATTTTTTTTTTTTTGCAGGTTTGTAGGGTAGCTTATGAAATTATGCAGACACTCCATCCAGACGCGTCTTCGTATTTCCGCTCTTTAGATGATATATATTACTTTGGCGGTCAAAATGAGCACCGCCAACGTGCGATCTATGCGCACGAACCGAGGGACAGCTCGGAAACCCGCCTTAGCCCCGGCGATTTTATTGCCGTAGCAGGCAATCATTGGGATGGGTACTCCAAGGGAACGAATCGCAATATAGGGACCAGCAAAGCAGGCCTTTATCCATCATATAAAGTAGAAGATAAAATAGATACAGCTATATTTCCAACTTATAAAGAAGCTGAAAATTATAAGATACCAAGCTGAAAAGTTATAATTTTATTGAAATATATCCAATTTTTTAATCTGTATTATTTCTATTCTCGTGTTGGAAAATCATATAAATATAAACTTAATTATAAATAAATAATAAATAAATTTTAAATGTTTTATAGATTTTTTAGTGTTCTAGATGATAGTGTTTATTGAAAGCCATTCTATGTTGAATTTTTATAATGTGAGATTGTCTGACTCTCACTAGATGTGTTGGTGGGTGTGGTCTAAATCTCATAAGATGTGTTGGTTGGTGTGGTTAAGTCTCACAAGATTTATTTGTGGGTATTGTATAAATATCTCAAAATATGTTGGTGAGTATGGTCTGAATCTCACAAGATGTGTTTGTGAGTTGGCCTAAATCTCACAAGATGTGTTGAAAATTTTGGTCTAACTCTCACAGTATGTGTTTGGGAGTGTAGTCTAAACTATCACATGATGTGTTATGTGAGTTAGTAAGGTCTGAATCTCATCTCACAAAATATGTTAGTGAGTGTGGCCTAAATCTTACAAGTTGTGTTATTAGTGAGGGTGTTCTAAATCTCACAAGATATGTTAGTGAGGGTGTTCTAAATCTCACAAGATATGTTAGTGAGTGTGTTTTAAATCTCACAAGATGCAAATGTTTACTTTCCATTTGATCTTTCTAAGAACAATTCCAAATTAATTGCCTTGCCTTCAGTGTTAAACTTATTTGCATCAATTTTAAGCAACTCTGTTTATTGAAAAAATATGTCATAAAATGTAAATGTTTTTCATTTTAATATTTTGTAAATGTCAGGGAAAATTATATATCAAAATGTAAAAGTTTAAAAGATTTATATTTAAAAAAATATAAAAGGTCATTTTATGTCATGTGAAATTTTAAAAATAATTGTACTGTATTATTTTTGTTTTAATTGTACATTTGGGAACAGTTATACTCAGACATTAATTACAACTCAAATTAAAAACTCATTAGGACTGAAATTTGCAAATTAAATAATGATCTAGCTTTTTGCTATTAAAAGAGTTTCAATATTTTAAACTTTTTATTCCATGGTTGTGTATTTGTCACTAAATGCACAGCTGGTGAACGTTAGTACAGTATCAATCTTGCCCTCTCCATGTTAGTGTAATGCACACCGATAGCGCCCTCTTTAGGTCATCATGGAGTTACTTTTTATTTACATTGATATTGATGCTGCACCTGACAAGAAGATCACCACCGAAAGCAAATTCCATTAAAATATATTTTTTAACTAAAGTATTGTTTTTTTTTATGAAGTCCACCGATAATATTTTCTACTAATTAAATGGATGAATTTATGAAGCGATAATTATTATTTTTATTCACTTAAGACATAGAATGAGGCGCTGCAGCCAGTGAAGGGGAAATTAAAAACTGACGTACCTATCCATCGGGGGAAGTAAAGGCTTGCCAGTTAGCTAGTATACAACTCATTGCATATATAGTCGTCTTCCTTACAGGTAGTTCTATATAATATATATACTATATATTTTATGGCAGAATATTATATGATGGCCATGAGTATCAAGGCCAGATAACAGTAGTGGAGTGGGATAAAGGGTAGTATCATAAAGGAAGGGTAAAGGGACATGGTAGTTGGTTGGTGGTTGTGTGAAGGGGTAGGTTTTATTAAAGAGAAAAAATAAAAGGGAAAATCTTGTTAATTTCAGTGAACTTTATTTTAAACAGGTTTTTGCAAAAATTTGGCACATTGATGATAAAATAAGAAACACCCAAATAGCGCCCTCTTCAGGTCATTTTGAAATTACCTAAATAATTAATGTTAATATGCTGCACCCTACAAGTTCACCACCGAAAACAAATTCCAGTAAAATATATTTTTTTTATCCAAAACATCAGTAGATATAAAGGGAGTACAGGATAAATATGATTGTTATGTTTTAATAAAAACATTAAATTATATTTTTTGTTTAACAGATATTAATTATTATTGTTAACTGAATGTGACTCATGTAGCCTTGAAGAATGAATATTATATATATCCTTGTGAAAAGTTTTATTTTGAGCATCTCATAATAAGCTTATAAATAGCTTTATTTTGGAACAGAGAAAAGCTGATTATTCTTTACAGATATTTTTAACAAGCCACTTCGAGGTTAAAAATACAAAATCATGCAGAACTGAAGACTGTACAATGAAAATTGGAAAGAAAGCATGAAATTAGTAAAGGCCTAAATTGAAAATAAAACATGGGAAACATTATTATAATATGGTCACTTTGAAAAGCAATAGAGTTTCAATTATCCTTGTCAGTTTATGTGATTACATTTTGGTAATTATTGATTGTTTTAAAATGTTTTAAGTACTTTTTTTTTTTAAAGAAAATACAAAGATATAATATAATTAAATTTGATTATCAGTTTTAGAAGTCAAAAGTTTCTGAAAAAGAAAGCTGTTTTGAAAAAAAAATTGTGGGTGTAACATGATGATAACTACCTAGTTACCATAATGCTACCATGGTGATGATTACTATTGTGATAGTTACCATGGCAATGGCTTGCAACCATAGTGATATTTACCAAGGTGTTGGTAATGACATATTCTAATCCTCTTCCATTTTTTATGGCACTTTTTAGTGTCCTATCCTCAGAAATATTTTTAAATACTTTAAATGTCTAGCCATGTTAAAACAATTATTATGTTTAAGTAGACCATGTTGCTTAGCAACTGTATTTCATATTCCTTGTTTCAACCTCAACCAAACTCAAAAAAGTAAATAATTTGTTGATTTAAAAAAAAAATTAAAAATCATTAATATTTCTAAGTTGTACTCAGTACTGTAATGTCTAACTACAATGTAATCTATCTATACTTGGATTATTGTAATAATTACTTGACAATATTTCCATATAGACTGCGACTACAATATGACCACTCATTATGACATTATCATACTATCATATTATAAATGATGTGTCGCCGTAGTGCGTAATGAGCGATGAAGAACACCGTAGTTGTGATAGCTTTTATGGTGGCCTTGGCTATTATGTTCATATCCTTCCATACTTTCTGTAGAGATATGTAGTACATGAATGAATTTGACATTGTTTTTCAAATGCCAAAGAAATTTATGAAAAGTGTAGATAATGTGAGGTAAATGTAGTGTAATTTAAAAAAGGCCAACAATTATGTATAACAACATATTGGCCCCAACCTCATATATCTACTTAAAAAGGCCCCAACTCCATATAAAGATACATGGGACCCCAATTTATAACCCAGCATAAAGGGTTACAAATGTTGAACCCCATTCCCCATCCAAGTATAAAGGAATATGGTGATGCATTACTTGCTTCCAAACGCGTATATAAATACTTTTATTGACGGGTACGATGATGTCATATCAGATCCATATATGGGCAATCTGCCACATAAAATATCATAGTGTGAACTTAACATACTTCTTAAAATTAGATTTGTGCTAATCCCCAACAAATTTGTTGATTAATATTAATGCAACAATTTAAACTTTTTGTAAAAAAATTTTTAACCTAAATATAATTTCTTACAAGATGTGGTAATGTTGCCCCTTGTGCATGAAAAGAGGATTTTATTTTATTATGTTATATAAATCAAATACATCATCAAATGTTATTGCAATGTTATCAGGGGCGGATTTAGGGAGGGCCGGCCCCCCCCCCTTTTTGGGAGGTAAGAAAAAGGGGAAAAGAGAAAGAAAAAAATGATAGGCCACAACGCATCAAATGTTATTTTCGGGCGTCTAGAACACATTTCGGCCCCCCCCCCCACGGTACGCCCCCCCCCCTTTTGGACATCTCTGGATCCGCCCCTGGTTATTGATACCACCAATATCACAAATGTTTCTTTCATTGTTTACTTGTTATAGATTACTGAATGACTTAAATCGTTTTAGTACCATTGTACCCATATGCTTTTAAAATTCATTTGTGTACAATTTTTTCCTATTCTTTCGTTACCTTTATGGTATCTTATTCTTAACTGATTATGTAATGATTTAATTTTAATTATATTTAGAAGTTATTTTTACTTTGTGTACCAGGTAACTGGTCCAATTATTTTAATTGTGTTATAATTACTGTAATTGAATATTAAATTCTGTTGGAATATATAAAAACTTATGTTATTTTTTTCAGTTGCTAATATATTATATATATGTATGTACAAGTATCTAATTACTATTAGGCCTACATGGTACATAGGGTGTAATTCTGTTATTCAAATTATAATTATTTTATCATTTTATTTATTAACTGATTGTCATATTTCTTTATTCTTTCAAATGTGTTTTTAATGACAATAAATGAGTGATTAGATGCATTAACACGCTGAAAAAAAATTAAAGAATACAATTTAGTAAAATAAACGATATTTGTGAATTACACTTTTTGTCGTACAGTTTGTTGTGTTAAGGTTATGATTATTAATATATGATGAATTTTAAAAATAACACCCTTATATTAATAGATATAAAACATAAATGGTTGGGCAAGACGGGCATTGATTGGCATTGATAGATTAATGTGTATTTTTTATGTTTTTTAATATTCTTTTATTTGCATGTGATTGTCTTTTTGTTAAGGTAATACAACACATTGTCAGGCATTCATGCCTTTGTTGTATTTCCTCCATCTTAGCTTGTTATTTTATTGACGATGGAAAATAAAGATTGAGAGAGGAGCTCTTTATACC